CTAATCTACATCTGCATGCTTAGTATATTAGGGGAAGGACAGGCTGGAAGAAATTCTTGAAAACAAGAATGGGTTTCTTGCTGTTTCAGGACTCCAGGGCTTAAGAGGAAAATGTCACAAACACATTAGGATTGGAGGGACGCATTCTTCTAAACACAGGGTCCCTATTATCACTTTCTCCCAACCTATAGCACCCTGCACAAACAAGCATTCCGGGATGGATGGATTATAGATAGGTGGACATATCAATAGGCACGGACGTGAAACGTAGGAGTCAAAGCAGCATTTCCTTCGTGGTCATTCTTTCTACCCTGGTAGGAACAAAGCAGCAAAAACATGGAGCAGAAATAAGAAGAGAGTTCTAGGGAAGCAGATAAGCAACTTACCCTTCCCCAGCTCTCTGTGAGCCTGGTTAGGAAAGCCCCTTCTTCCTTGTTTCCTTTTCTGCTTTCTGTCTAATTGGCCTGCAGACTAGGATACCTGAAGTATTTCACCTCTCCTTAGCTATGCTGAGCTACTAAAAGGAAGGAATCCATTAATAAGATTGAGAGCAGGCAAAAAAAAAAAAAAAAAAAAAAAACCAAAAGGCATTTCTAATCACAAGCATATGAAACCCTCAAAAGTGTAATCCTGGTTCCCATATCTTGATGCCTCACACTATATTTGTAGTAATTCAGTGCTCACATCAAAGAAATGTGTCATCACATCCTAGACTCAAACAAGACAACAGAAAATTTTCAGAGATTATGAATACAATGCAAAGCCAAATTCTCTTCCTGTAGAGGCAAAGCAAGTATCGTCAGATCTCAAGCATTTTAGCACTGTGATATTTTGGGTTGCAATTTGAGATAATATTAAAATAGCATAGAGTCCTTCTATGAAATGCTTTGGAATTTTTGTCACATTCTATTGAATACCTTGAACATTTCTCTAATTTCACAAAAATCCAGCCATCATACTCAAGGATATTGATTAATCTTTTATATTTTATAGATCTTAAGAATGTAGATGAATGAATTTATGCAAGTCTATACATCTGAGTAATCAGCATCCTAAAAAAAAACTAACCTCAGAGTATCCTTAACAAGTAGAACATTTCCTCATGTTCCTTTCCCGTTTATCCCCTTCTCCCTGGCAACTGCAGCTCCAGTTCCTATGTCCAAGTTTCATTTTCCTTTTCTTAAACTTCATATTAATGAAAACATACTTATGTTCTCTCTTGCACTGGCTTCCGCTGCTCAACATGATGGCTTTGACAGACCTATAAATCACTGCAAGAATCAATAGGAGTTGGGCCCGGCGCGGTGGCGCAAGTGGTTGAAGTCCTCACCTTGCACGCACAGGATCCCATATGGGCGCCGGTTCTAATCCCGGCAGCCCCGCTTCCCTTCCAGCTCCCTGCCTGTGGCCTGGGAAAGCCGTCGAGGACGGCCCAAAGCTTTGGGACCCTGCAGCCGCGTGGGAGACCCAGAAGAGGCTCCTGGCTTCGGATTGGCATAGCATGGGCCGTTGTGCTCACTTGGGGAGTGAATCATCGGATGGAAGATCTTCCTCTCTGTCTCTCCTCTCTGTATATCTGCCTTTCCAATAAAAATAAAATCTTTAAAAAAAAAAAAAGAATCAATAGGAGTTACTTTTTATAATCACTGGGTAGAATTCCAGTGTGTAAATTTATCACATACATTTATTCATTATTAATATAACCACTAGATGGATCCATGAAGATGCTTCAATGAAAGAAAATAAAGTGATTCTTCTCCATTCAACTCTGAAACCCACACTTGACTTCTGCTAATGGCTGAGGCTAAGTGCAGAGCGAAATCTGAATTTCCATTCTGCAGTCTTCGAAGGAAAGAGAGAGTATAATAAAAACAGGAACTGCTTAAAAACCTGAATCCAAAAGGAAAACACAAGGAAATAAGAGATAGTATGTATATTATATATGTATGTATACATATATATATGAGATAGTATCTACACGTGTGTGTGTGTGTATGCAGATACCGTCAACATAAACCAAAAAAAACACAGGCTGTTTTCTAAGACTATGAAAAACAGAATATTAAATGCAATCTACGCCAATATTATTATTTTCCTTCTTTCTCTCCTAGTTATTTTGACCACTAATTAAAATATTTTTATTTATACATGATCTAAAGGTTTTGAGATATTCAAGAAAACATTATTTAATTGAATATTCTTGAATATGGCTCTTGTTCCAATTAGTATGGTAGTTAAGATAACTATACATACGTTTATGTATGTATGTATATGTATAAGTTGGCAATTCTTTTTCTTTAGCCTGCGTAAAGCACACATCAAAAGAGGAGGAAGGAAACTTGCAGGAACTGATGTTATTTGTTTTGATCCACATCATCATAATACGATTACATCCACAGGAAAAGACTAACAGGTCCTACAAATTTTTCTTTTGGTTATTTGTGATTCCTCTCTCAAGGAGTTTATAGCTATTTTGAAGAAAACCCAGATATATGTAGTCTAAATATGAAGTAATAGCTAGTTTGACTCAATTACTGCAAAAAACAACACCATTCTAGCTGAGGAATATAAAATATGCCATAAAAAATAGTAACAGCATTATTAAGAAATCATTAAAAAATCATTACTGTAAATGCTATAGGTGAGTTATGATACCTAGTTAGAAGTTAATTTTAAAACCAAAAATTATACTCTAGTCATGGTTCAGCTGAAAATGTTATTGCTAATCACTTGAACCCCAATTTTTCACTTGGCAGGATTTCCCCCAGTGAGATCTCCATTCTCTGGAAGTTGTTTTGCCGGAATAGATCCCAAGGAAGCTACCTGTGTTGTTCAGAATAAGATGTAGGTCCCAGTGGTACACGGAGCAGAGGCCCCAGCGTCAGAACACTTAGAAAGTACAATCCAGGTTGGAAAGGAGTGTGCCTTCAGCATGGAGGCTCACTGGGCACATTCTTAACAATGTGCATTGTCCATTAACAAGCAACGTCCATTAACCCAGTCTGAAAGAAGTCAAATTGAGATCTTTATAATAAGGCTTTTTCTCCAGTGGGAAAAATAAAAGATGCCACACATCACAACTGAAGTATTGGCATCACTGAAATAGAATCCAGCATCTATTGAACTGGAAATGAAAATTTTGTTCCTATAAACTCCTGAATTTCTATGAATGTCATAAATTAACTTTTGTTACAGAACTAAACTTCTTTGTGTAAGAAATCTTATAAGCAAGAATTTTACTTTATATAATATTTTTATTTGAATTATCTCTAAAATTATAATCACATTTAATGTTGTTGAGGATAAAATATGTGAATTCTAGAACTTTTCTGATATTTTGAGCAACTAAAATTTTTATAGGAATATTTCAAGTATTTCCAAGAGTGTTTTTTTCCTTTGATGAGATCAGGTGTGTTCAGGGTGGTATAGCTGTAGACTGTTCTTTCCCTTTGAAAGCTGCCATGTTTTCTTAATCCAAACTTTACATGTCTATTTTAGCATTCACATGTAATTATGGGGATTCTTTTGCCTCATCCTTACTTCTCAGAATATATTGAACAAAAACCAGATATTAATGTTGGAATAAAACGAAGGATTCTTTCCTTGGAGTCTTGCTTCTGGCCCAGAGTTGGACACTGCCAGACATCGGCCCAGGCAAACCACAGGTCCAAAACTGTTGAGATTCTTGGAATGAAATGTACTGTCAGAGATTTACAGCAAAAGAACACGTCTAATCCTTGCATGATGTGCTCACAGGTGGGCCAGTGAGGCTGTCTTCCCAGTCACCAATGAGTTGCCCATTCTTCCCAATGCTAGTGGCCTGGTGGCCTGTACCCATCGTCCCCCATGACTGTGAGTCACTACTCTTCTAAAGGTAAGTACAAAAGCATGAAGACCTTATCTTTATAAAAACACAAAATGGACTTGCTTTTCCATTATGCTGGACTCTGTAATGAAAGCTCTAGGAAGTGAGTGTAACATGAAGTCATTCCTTCCGCCTCGGCAGACAGATGGAGAGACATTCCAGTTTGTTTCCAGTCTTTTGTCTTTGGAGCATTTTTGGCATTTCCCTCAGGAAATTGGAGGTTATGACCTCAGGTTTCCTTAGTGAACACACTTCTGTTTCCCACAGTTAACCTTACCCAGAAATGACACTACACTGTTAGGTGAGGTTTATCTTCTTGTCCCAACTGTGTCCTGTGCATATTCAATGACACTTAAAAGCACAAATTCTGAAAGTAACAATAGCACTGGAGAGTCACACACACCAAAACATTTGGACTTCTTCCCTGATACACACGACAATGGTATCAAAACAAGTATGAGCTATTACGGTACCTCTGTGATGTTACCAAGATGCAATTGCTCTCATTTTACAGCTGGAGGAATTCATGACCAAGAGAATTAAATCGTTCAGATACCATCAATCAAATTTCATTTCAGATAAAAAGTACTATTCAGCTTATATTCCAAAGCTTGCTTTTTCTCTGATACGGTTTACTTTGTGTTGTTCCAGACATGTCAAGACCATGTCCTAAATGAATGAATGAATGAGTGAATGAAGTTAATATTGCTTACCAGATCTATATCTCCACTTTGACAATAGGCTGATGAAGTGCCAAGAATGTACATTTTTGTTGATGAGTTCAAACCGAGCATCATTTAACTTAGATTTATAACCACACTGTGTATTGGCTTACAAGAGAGTCCATGTACTTAGTTTAGTTAGGCTTTACAAAATTGCATTCATTTGCTTATTAGGTATTTGGAAGGTTGGTGGTTTTATCTCATTTGTTACTATTCTTCAATGCTAACTTATTGGGGTTTCTCTTCCTGAAAAAGATGCAGTGGTTTCTAAACAAACCACATCTTTTTCATGTTATCAAGGTAAAGATCCTTTAAAGAATAACAGTACACCCTTCACTGTATTTCCAAAGAGTCCCAAGGTCAAAGAAAATACCTTAATGATTATGTTTAAAAATGCTCATCGCAAACAGATCTTTAAAAAACATCAGTTTATTAATGTTTAAAAGTTGATAAAGCTATGTGCAAAATGATTCACAAAAGTCAGAAACCTATTAAATACTATTTTTTTAAAAAGACATTTCTTGGTTTAATTGCACTGAAAATCATACTAAAGAGACAGTAATATATTTTTATTCTTTGTAACATTTATACACATCTTCAATTACTATCTAATGAACATCTGTACTAAAAAAAAGTCCTGCTGTTCCCTATCAGTTAATGTAATGCTTTCAAGGGCAAATGAGGATGGTATAGTCTTAGAACTACACATTCAATGGTGTTAACACAGGTTAGAAACTCCAATAAGATGACATCTGCTAAAACAAATACATTCAAAAATCATAAAGAGTTCTTTTAACACAACAAAATACCACCATCCTGTTGGTTAAAATGAATCGCTTAACACTGAAATAAACATCAACAAAAGTGCCAAAGACAGATGCTGTATTCGTTAGAAAAAGTCATTAAAAAATCTCTCTTGGTTTACAGAAGTTAATTCCCAGTCTGTTCTCACCTTGTTTTGTTTGCTGGTTTCTCCTCTAGCACTAAGGATCCTGGCTGATACCATTTAAAGTGGACTTCCTCACATAGATTACAGCCACAATGCATAGGATGCTGTAACACACATTTCATCGTAAAAATGCCATTGTTTTGCTATCAGAAAAAAAGAATCAAAGTGACTTCACCAAATTAAAAAAGAAAACTCCAGCTTACATGGAAACTTTGGCCTCAGCAAATGAAATTGCTTTACTTCTCCACACCCACTCCATCTTCCTGCCTACCTACCCAAATCAGCCCCCACGCAGCACATCATCAAGCAATGGTCTGGGGGCCACAACTTCAGCTCTGATGACTACCATATAGCCAAAATATAAAGTAAAGAAGTTTGAGGAGAGGTGGGGGGGGGGGGAGAGATGGCTCGAGCATCCCAGAGACAAGCAGAAGTGCACATGCTCACTTGGATTTGTAACTAAGGTGAAAGAAAACATCTTTTCAAGACGCTCCAGACAAAAGGGACGGCTTTCACATGGGGACAGTTAGTCTTTGTAAGGAGGGACCAATGGAACCCTTTGGGAGCTTGACAATGCTAGACCTTTGGCTCAGTGCAAAATCAAAGCTCCACAGGAAAGGAAGCTGACTCCAGGCCGGGGCCTGATCTCCACCCTTCCCAGTGCATTGTTCACTGGCATCAACGCAACCTCCGCCAGCACCACACGCCACACCACACTCTGCTGTTCTCCCCCGTCCTCCCTTTGGCTCGCGGCAGCTCCTCCCCGGCAGCTAGTCGCGGTACCACACTGGGGGTGGTGGGCGACCCATGTCACAGTGCTTCCCACGGGTTGTCAGCTGTGAGTTTTAGGAAGAAGAGTTGACGTTTCCAGAAGACATGATGGTTTCGGGGTTGTCCCCATCGTCCTTCTGGGGGTGCGAGGAGTTGTCCGATTTACTGCGGCTGAATTCCACCCCCGCGATGATGGGGCGCTTGACCTTGCCCGCGGAGTCTCCACTGGGGCATTTGCAGCAGGACATGATCCGGATGAAGGCCCGGCGCATCTCCTTGTTGGTCAGAGTGTAAATAATGGGGTTGGTGCCAGAGTTGAGCACAGCCAGCACCAGGAAGTACTCGGCTTTGAAGAGGATGTCGCATGTCTTCACCTTGCAGCCCACGTCCAGCAGCAGCAGGATGAAGAGCGGGGCCCAGCAGGCGATGAAGGCGCTCAGGACGATGATCACCGTCTTGAGCAGTGCCAGCGATTTCTCAGAGCTGCGGCTGGCCTTGGAGGCGTTCTTGCGGAAGGTCAGCCGGCGGCTCCGAGTCCTGACCAAGGAGTAGATCCTGCAATAGAGGATGACTATGGAGAGCAGAAGCAAGGTGAAGACGGTGGTGCAGAAGAGGATATAGTGCTTGTGGTAGAGCGGCAGCACTGTGGAGCAACTGGACAGCGTGCTCATGCAGTTCCAGCCCATGATGGGCAGGCCGCCCAGGATGAGCGAAATGACCCAGCAGGCGCTGATGAGCAGGAAGGAGCGGAAACTGTTGCTCCCGTTGTGCAGCTTCATCTTCAGCATGGTGATGTAGCGCTCAATGGCGATGGCCAGGAGGCTGAACACCGACGCGGACAGGGCCACAAACATGCTCCCTTCCCGCAAGAACCACTGCGCCGGCGTCAGCTTGTAGGTGGTGGCGCCAGACAACAGCAGGTTGGCGGTGTAGGCCACTCCTGCCAGCAGGTCCGAGAGGGCCAGGTTGCCAATAAAGTAGTACATGGGGCGGTGGAATTTCTTGGTTTTCCAAATGGTCAGCAAAACAAAGATGTTCTCCAGGATGATGAAGCAGCAGATGAGGATGAAAACCACGGACGTCGGTTTAATCCCATTGTCCTTATCCGCGCCGATATTCAGCTTCCCGGTGTAATTGTAATGCCGGACGATGATGTCGTAGTTGACGTAGTCGGAGACCGAGGTGCGGAGGGCCTTGACCAGTGGAACGTTGGTGGGCCCCATGGTGCCAGCGCCTGTCCTGCCTCGGAGCCGGGAACCGGGAGCTGGGCTCCGGACCAACGCTAGGGGGCGAGGCTAAGGCGAGAGCTGTCACTCACTGCAGAGGAGGTGCAGGGAGCAAGCCAGGCTTTTTTGTGTAGCTTTTCCTTGCCTGGAGAGGGGCCTCGGAAACCGCAGCCTGAAACAAGTCACAAAGAAGAGAGTCAGGGAGAAAGCCTCAGCACACTGGCATAATTCATGCTAGTTAAGGCACTGCTCCAAGTGTTGTTCTTTTTGATTTGGATGAGGGAAATGTCGAGAGAGCAACTTTTTTTGGCTAATAAAATTCTTGCAAAAGGGGGAAGAGAGAGAGAGGAAGAGGAGAGGAGAGGAGAGGAGAGGAGAGGAGAGGAGAGGAGAGGAGAGGAGAGGAGAGGAGAGGAGAGGAGAGGAGAGGAGAGGAGAGGAGAGGAGAGGAGAGGAGAGGAGAATGAAATCCCACATATTTACCCCCAATTGAAAAATCGATAAAGGACAAGATGAAACTTTCCCTATTGTCACATCCAGTCAAATGGAAATAGGAAGTCCAGGGCTGGGGGCTATCGGAGCTTAAGGAGTGTCCCATTGTGACCCCAGTCTCACCTCTTCGCCCCACCCTCGACGCTCTGATTTCCATTCGAGAGATTCTCTAAGGCGGCCACCTTCTAAGCTGTACGCTCACCACCACCCTAAGTTGCTCTTCACAGGAGCCTAACCGCCAGTCTGAGGGTGGAGACGCACACATCTTTCCTCGCCCCACATTATCCCCCACCCCCGCCAAGCTCAAGGGCACAAGCACCACCTCTTAATTTCCATGCAAGAAATTAGATGTGCACGAAAATCATTTGACAGCTCAAGTCATTTTTTGGACTCTATTTATAACTCTCTGGGAGCAGGTGTGCTCGGGGTCCAAGGGCGCAGCGAGATGTGGGCAGGCGGGTCCGCCCCGTCTTGCGGTAAACAGGAAAGCTTAGCGCCTCGCTGAAGCCAAGCTGTTTTCCTTCTTTCTGCTTCTACCCCTCCTCCCCTCTCCCCACAAGTCAATGCAAGTAAATTTAAAGGTACTCGGTGTAAGCCATTCATAAGAGGTTGCAGTAAATCCTCGAAGTTTTGTACATCACTTGGCTGTATGAATGTTTGCAGTTTGGTTTTAAACACACACACCAAAGAAAGAGAGAAGTTACATGGCTAAAGATAACAGCAGTTCATGTCACCGCATTCCTAATCTCCAGTGTAAACGTGCACTCCAGAAATGCACACACTCCGAGGTCTGGTGCACCGCTAAGTTCGAGGGCGCAGTTTTATTTATGGCTGCTCCCCGTCCCCCTCCCCCGAGCATACTGCCTCCTTTCAAATAACCAGAAAGTGTGAAAGGAATGACACCCAGCCACAGTTTCCAACAGCCCTCTCTGAAGTTGTTCTTTAAAAGTTTCAGGGCAAAGCAGCGGAGAGAAAAGTGGAGCAGTGGCGACCGAAGCAAGTCAGGCAGACAAGGGTTGAACGCGCCCACAGGCTCCGCATTTTCACCTCACTCGACACCCCAACTTGCCTGCAGGACAAGTTAAAGCTACCCCTCCGCGTCCCGCAGATTCTTTGTCTATAGGGTTTCCAAAACTAAGCGTCTTCCCTTTCTCCCTTGCAATCAACCGCGGCTTCCACCCGCCATCCCCCAACCCCAGTCGGTTCCACAATCGGGAGTTACGAACTAGCCCTTTTTCAAACTCCACACCACCAGCGTTCCCCACCACCTCCACCACCACCCACCAGAGCAACTCGGTGGAGCAGGGCTCATCGGTATCCCAGATCTGAATTTTTTTTTTTTCAAACTTTCCGTTTACTTCGTTCCGGTTTAAAAATTCGTTTCTGACTCGGGCCCCGTCCCTTCTGAGGGTCCCCCTGCCCGGCGCGCGCAGCTCGCAGCCCCGTACCTCGCTCAGGCGGGACGCAGCTGCGTTCGGAGAGCTCCGGCTCCGCGCGCCGCGCTCCTCATCTTGCTGCGGCCCGCAAGGGACTGCGTCGCGCTCTCGCAAACTTACTCGACTGGGGTCCCCTGCCTGTGCAGCCGAGCACTCCAAAGGGCAGAACCGCTGGCGCTGGCCGCTGCGTTCGCCTCCGAGCGCCGCGCCGCGGCAGAGTGGCTGCTCTAGGAAGAGGCGGGGAGGGGTTAATGCCTTAACCCCCCACGCCTTCCACCGGCAGCTGGGGGGCCCCCGGATCTGGGCTGATGTGACAAACTGTCCAGGAAAGATCTGGGGCAAACTGAACTAAAATAAATAAATCCATACATGACACCCCTCCCCCCACACCACCAACCAGCAAATGAAAAGACCAGAATGGGGGTGGAGCGTACTGCCCCCTGGATTCTAATGTATAAATCTCGGCCCTTGTACGCGCCCCGCCGCTGCTCCGCGCCCTGGGAAGGAGAGGAGCCAGGGAGCTTTAGAAACTTTTTTTAAAAAAAGAAACTTTGTTTCTTGCGAAAAGTCTTACCCAAGTCTCGTAGCGCACCGCCTGGTTTCTCCAGCCTGCTGCCCTTGCAGGATCCCGAGTTCCGAGCTCGGAGTCGGGCGCAGAAGTCCCGGGCGCAGAGGGTCTGGAAAGGGGATAGCAGAGGACCTGAGAGGACGAACAGCCCGGGAGCGGAATGGGCCGTGGAGGCCGGGCGACAGCCCTCTCTCGCTGCCCGGATCCCGCTGCCGCCTAGCTGGTCTGACCAACACGAAGTGGTTTCTTGGGGCGTACAAGTGGAATGGACAAGCGCCGGGGCTGGTGTTGTGCGAGCGTTGCCCGCCCTCAGCTGGACGCAAAATGAGACTGAGTGTCCCAGATTCTAGCCAGTGGCGAGGCCTTTGAGGAAGGGGGCTGCTGCGAGTCCTGGATGATTTAGAAAGAGTGGGAAGCTCAGGAATGTCCAAAGGGAAGAGCCGCGCAGCCCAGCCCAGCCCAGTCGAAAGCCTGCAGCTGCCCAGCTTGAGACAGACACCCTTCCCTCACTTTCTTCTTGGGGTGGGGGAGGGCGTGACTCATAAAGCACCCAAACCCTAATGTTCCCAAGGCTCTCATGCTTAAGCTTAGCTGGGAAGAGCTTCGGGACAGGGAGGTGCACAGATCTGCCCGAGTGGAAACCTCCGTGCACTTGTGCCCCTGTCCTTACTGTCACCAAGGTTTCCACTCAGTCCCTGGTCTCACCTCCTTTCCATCCAGGCAGATGTGAATGCAAAACTTCCTCCGCTGTGCAGTTTCAATTGGTAGACACACCCTGTACCTGAATGACTCAGAAAGCGTCTGAACGAATAAACAACAGACCCCTGGCTCTGAGATTTTATGAGTTTGCAAAAAAGAGAGAGAAAGAGAGAAAAAGCGACAGTTACTAATTCACAGCAGCCTGAAAGCCCTCACCACCGGCGTGGCACACAACACACCACCCATAAGTTCGTTAGCCATATATGCATGCAGCATGGAAATCAAGATAACGGTAGGTACCCTGGACTCAAGAATAGACTCAAGTCTGGTGTGAGGGCTTTAATTTACAAGAAAAGTTAGACCACTGTGCCTACCTAGCACAACAAAATGGAGACTTTGCGATACACACTCCCCACTAATTCGTTAGTTTTGTTTGTTTGCTTGCTTTTTAATAGAAAAAGAATTGGAAGAATGTGCATTGTTTAATGCACCACAACTGCTCCATGAAGCAAGCAAGCAGTGCTGGCCATTTTACTGAGGAGGGCAAGGCATTGGACAGCGTTAGTGATTTGCTGAGTTCTCAGCTGGGGGAACAGAGCTGCTTTCTACAACTCCAGTACTGCAGATGTCTGTGTCTCGGTACAGACACCAGTCACTTAAGAGTTCAGGAATCCAAATGTAAGTTCCTGAAAGGAATCAGATTCCCACATTTTGAGTTTGTACTCATTTCGGATTATAAAATGGATGTCAAAGTCAGCTTATGAATGTCCTTTTAAAATCACTTAATTTTCAACTGTGCATACAGAGTTTATACACACATATATTAATGGATGTTTTTGAAGCGTTGGGTTGTTGGTGCATAACATTTAATGCAAAGCTTTAGTACTAATATTTGTGCACCAAATCTTAAGTGTTACACACATTAATTCATTGAATTCTTACAGGAATCCTATAAACTGGGTATCATTATTTTCCTGATTTTTGCAAATAAGTAAATTGAGCCCCAAATGTATTAAGTAACTTGGTTACCATGGAACTTGACCTTAATGCAGGTTGCACACTCAACCACAACTCCAAACCACCAGATAAACCTCAACCATGTCTGAGAATTATGTAGGGGAAATTGGTCCTTTTCTTATGAATGCTTTTGGTGCAGATGCATTCAGTATTGATCCAATATGTAAGTTACATACAATATTTTGAAGATAATTACTTAGCAAGATTCATTCTTAGAACACACCTATGAATTTTAAAATGTAGATGACCACTAAAACAAAATTAGAAAGTAAGCAAAGCTGTTTTTTCCAACAATATCACCCTGGCAATCCTAAGTTTTTGGTTCCCACACAAGTCCCTTCCTATCGCTCTCAAGAGAGAGGCTGTAAGAATTGCATCCTCATGCTATCTTCCTGGCTCCCAGCCCATTCCTTTCCGCTGCTGTCTGCAAGCCAAGCCTAAATTCCTACCTTATTCCTCATTGTGCTAAGGTTGCCATGTCATGCCTATTTCACATTAAATAGCTCAGTCCTAAATCTTTGACTTAAAAGAGTCTTCTTGGATTCCGTGTGCTCACTGCTGTTACTCTTGTAGACAGTTGAAATACCATGCAATCTTTAAGGCATAAGCTAGCAAAAGCAACCTGGATCAAGTACGCTGTATTTCTATTTACTAAATCTGTCCATTTTACTCTCTCCTAATTGCATGATAATTCTTTTAAAAGATCAACTAAGGACTGACATTCTTTCCCTAAAGTGTGTGAAGAAGAGCCTCACTCCTCAATGGTCCCCTGATCAGGTTAATCCTCCAAATTACTGCAAGTCCTACAGTTTTCTCTAGTAACTACTTGCAAATCTTCAAACCCCACTGTTTTATAACTCCTATTTCCTTTCTATCAGTTTTAGAGAATATCTATAGACTTCCAACCGTACTTAATGAGTGCTAAATATTTTACTATTAGAAAGCAAGATTGAGGCCCAGTGTGGTGGCCTAGCAGCTAAATTCTCACTTTGTGTGAGCTGGTATTCCATATGGGTGCAGGTTCATGTCCCAGCTGCTTTACCTCCCATCCAGCTCCCAGTTTGTGGCCTGGGAAAGCAGTAGTGGACATCCCAAAGCCTTGGGACCCTGCACACATATGAGAGACCCAGAAAGAAGCTCCTGGTTCCTGGCTTTGGATTGGCTCAGCTCCAGTCATTGCAACCAATGGAGAGTGAACCAGTTGATGCAAGATCTTTCTCCCTGTCTCTCCTTCTCTCTGTGAATCTGACTTTCCAATCAAATAAATGAATGAATGAATAAATGAATAAATCTTTTAAAAAAGAAAACAGGACTGTTTAATAAGTTTCCTAAATTCTTGCATGTCTGATTTTTAAAAAATGTGTTCTAAAATTAGTCTAAATGTGTTCTAAAATTATTCTGACTTAAGGTCAAGAAATAGGTTGCATGTAATTTTCCCTGAGAAAATTTAAGACATCATTTTTTTTTTAATTCCTAGAATAAAAAGTGTGAAACCAAGCTGGTTGCAGACCACTGCATGACTAATCATTGCATCCTTGGACGTTTCTAGAAACATCTCTGTCCCCTTGGATTTCTATGGTGAAATGACCACATATTTTTCTAGTCACTTAGCAGCTCTGGAAATTACCTGAAATTATTCCTTTGACAGCTTCATCTTTTCTTTCTTTTTTTCTCTCTTTCTCTATTTTCTCTTTCCTAAATACAATACCCACTATTCAGAGTGTGAAATATCTGAGCTTTTTTGTTGTTGTTAATTTTGTTATATCTTATCTCGTTTTTGAACTTTTTGTTCTTGTCTCTGGGAGATTTCTCAATTTTTATCTTTCAACATTTCAGTCACTATTTCCCTTCCCACTATCATATTTTTCATTTCCAAGCATTCTAGTTTCTTTCACAGGTGTTATAGTTTGACAAAGACTTGCTTATCTGTCAGAGACACCGTGTTTTCACATACCTCTGAAGATATTATGGTGTTGGTGTTGTTGTTACTTTCTTCTATTTTTTTGATGGGCTTTATTATCCTGTTTTTTTCTCTCACTTTTTTGTATCAGTGGTTTTTCCAACTGTCAGAAGGTCTACATTGTCTATTCATATTTCAGACAGAAGTGTTAGAAACTCATTAAATCTCTACATTGTGGTTGGTCAACAAGAGGCAACAGGTGACCAGGCTACACAATCTGGGTTTGTTTTGTTTTGTTTCTTTTTCTTAAGGATTTCTTTATTTTGGAAGAAGTAGAGAGAGAAAGAGGAAGAGAGAGAGGGAGAGACAAAGATCTTCCATCCACTTATTCACTCCCCAGATGGCTGCAACAGCCAGCACTAGGCCAGGCTAGAGCCAGGAGCCAGGAGCTTAATGTAGGTCTCCCTTGGGGTTGGCAGCAGCCCAAACAAATGGCTCATTCTCTGCTGCTTTTCCCAGGCCATTATCAATGAGCTGGATAAGAAGTGGGGCTGCCAGTATTGAAATCAGCACCCAAATGGAATGCCAGCATTGCAGGTAGCAGTTTCACCTGCTATATCATAGTGCTGAATCCAGTTTGCACAATTTCATAATTTTAGCTCCAAATATTTGTGCGATGCAGCCTTAAAACCCAATATACACATATTCAATGTGTGATAAGCAAGTCAATTTAGTATTGCCATCTCCTCTCCTTAAACATTAAAAACACTTATTAATTGTAC